TTGGATCAGCCACAAGCCCTAGCCACAAGTATGTCAAGAATGGAGAGAACTATATAGTTGAGGTGAACACAACCATCACTGATAAAAGAATATACATGTAGATAGATACCAGTAGACTTAGCACTTAAGTTAGATTGCACAGAATAGTCATTAGATTTAGACGAAATCGAGAAGTTTTGGCAAAGCCTCAGGGACAAACATTATAACCTAGTAAATAAGTAGTCATCATTTGGAAGTTAATTTATGGCAACCATATCACACAACAAATTCATTAACAGGTAAATACTAAACACCACTAAATAATAGACTATGGCAACAGTTTTATTGCCAGTCTTATTATATACTGTAGTATGGTGTTGGCAGCACAAAGGAAATGTTATTGTCATCTTCCTGGACAAATTCATTGACAAGATCCTACCCCTACCCCTTGACTCAAATGCAGTATATTAATCCACATCAACCATCAGTCTCCACCAAGGCGGTCCTCCCACCTCCGTAATTAGGTACATGTAGGTCAGTGGTTCAGTGGAGTCCTGCTACCCTGGAGTTGTTGGAGAGACACTCTATTCCTCTTGGAAACAAAGTCTGCATAGTTGGCATGCCAAGTGAGCAAGGCTAGGCACCTCTAGCAGACTCCCTGTGTTTACAAGGCTGGCTGGCCTCATTACAACTAATTTTTGGGAAGAAAATGAGAAGCAGACCCTTGTTCTCAAAAGATTACACCCCACAGCTAGCCTCTGCAAACTGGTAAACAAAGGTGATGAGGGGATTTAGGAAAAGTGTGCTGCACCTGTATGGATAAAGGGGTCACTTTTATACCTGTAATGTATTATATTGAACATGTGTTGAAGCCAAGTTTTGTAGTCTGAAAGATCATCAGGTAGAAATTTTGAATTTCACATTAAGACTTCATGGATCTTTGCTGGACTCCATTTCTCTGCCATTCCATCAATTGCTTCTAATTATGATCTTAGTCAGATACACCACATGTGAAATACAAGCCTTATACCCACTACCAGCCCTGTAGTATGTGAAGATCAGTTATTAGTCATCACTTTAATATCCATCTTCATAACAGTGAAGATTAGGAGAGCTGAAATCACACAGATGTGGAGAAATCCGGACCAAACCAGGGACTGGCTGGTATCCCGGCAAGCACATCTTGGCTATTGACCCTGGTGGAGGTGTTGCATTCCTCCACAGCTCCCCAAGACATCTTCTTTTGGCGCCTCCACCTAGGCAGCGTTATTAGCGGAGAGTAGGAATCCTGCAGGGTCCAAATTGAAACCACTGGGACAACGTTTGAGCCTCCTGCCTGAGCTGCAGCAATGCGCAGCAGGATGGCTCCCAATTACTGCACATAACCCACTGGCAGGCGTAAGCCAGGTTAATGCTGCTCACAGATAGGCTGGGGGTTGGACTCTGAGATGGGGGATAAGTTGCCGGGACCCCTGGGATGAGACCTGGTCAAGAATAACACAGAAAAACAGGCTCTGTTTATCCTTGGGTAGATTTTCTTGATCCCAGGTAGGAAATGAGGATCATAGAGTCCAGGAAATGTCTTGTCTGAAAAGTTAGCTCTGAAATATCTACTAAATAAGAATTCATCAATTGGTGATTTTTTTAAGAAAATGTATTTGATCGTTGATGTTCTTGTTGTGGCTGTACATTGTACCATATAAGGTCAACAACAGTGCAATACCTTCTATAAAACATATGGGATGGCAACTGGGATAACTAATGTAATGAGTACAGGATGGAGAAACTGTCATTGCATCACGTCATAAAACCATTTGGATGCCCCCTCCCACATTTTGTAGAGAAACAGAAAGTCCTGCCTGTCAAACCATCAGCTCAGAGAAAGATAAGAAATCTTACATGTAAGGATCACCCATCAAAACAATCAACATGCAATTTCCATGGTTGTCATTCAGATGGCAACCTTGTGGCAACCTGTTTTTGCTGAAAACACCAGCAACAGTATCAGCTGCAAGGATTACAAGGCAAAAATGTAGCCTTGTACATGTTCTAAATGTGATTGAAGACAGCTTGATAGGTAAAATTTATAGCTAAGTACTGGTATCCAACATACCAAGCCAAAAAATGCTTAGGATTGCTTATATTTGTATAATTTGCTGGGTTCATTAAAGGTGATTAAAACATTGATCAAACAAGCGGTAGGGGTTTAGCAACCCCTGGTGAGGGGTTCAATACATCTGATTTGCATGCCCTGAAATTAGATGGGCCCCTTATTTGCCAATTTGTATGGAAATATAATGAAAAGGCACTGTTCAATTATGCTCTTTGTCTGTAGGATAACATGGCTTTACCATCAGTAATTGATTTCTATTGTGTGGTGTCTGTGAAATCAGTGCATATGAATCCTAAAAAAAGATTTTTTTTTGAAGCGCATGACATGTTAATGGGTAGTGTGATCATATTTTATTCCTTTGTATCTTTACTGTATTAAGATTTACATAGAGCTTTTGTTTGATTGCATACAAAATGAAAATGTATGTGTCAGATCATCGTCAAACTGTGTTTGTAACTGATTGGGAACCAGTCAACTGGTGCTGTAAAAGTTTGTTGATAGTAACAAATGGATTATGTATGCTTCTATAAACCTTGCACCCTTAATCCATAGGGGGCTTAAATTCTTAAACCATACTTCTACAATCTGTAATGTTACAATTCCTTGCCAGGAGTGGTGGCTTTGTTTACATGTACTTCGTGATGCATGGCAAAAACACACTTTGGCTGTTGCCTGTTGTAGACAGATCTTTGTCATGATTGGCCCTTCCGTTTCCTCCTGTGTTGCATCATAGGACTACATCCCTTGATGAAATCTCACTCTGTATACCATACAGTAAATGTATCCCACAATGCCACTTATCTACCATCATTACTGAAACCAGAAATCCCACCTTGCAGATTTCTTCCTGTGGTTCCGTCTTAACATTCCAGACTTGCCCCAAGTCTGCGCCTTACATTGTCTCATGTGGGACAGATAACACCCCCAGAAGAAACTGAAGTGAACATAACAAGGACTGACTTCAGCTGCCAGAACTTGAGGTCTCTGTTATGCCAGGGCATTCTGTGTGCACTTGACCTTGTGACCTTGAGACTCAAGACTGTCTTGGATCTGCTAGCAACAGGGACTTAGTCTGGGGAGTGGGGCCCAAGGATGATAGACTCAATTAATTAGGGAACAGCTGTACCTTTTCAGTTGATGGCTTAATTTCCGTCAGACATTTTCAACTTGCACTTGAATAATGGGGTTGTCACTTGCTTGGAACTATAGAGGTTATGGTGTAAACAATTCACCCTTTTTCTTCCCTCTTTGTCTACAGCTGCCTGTCTGTGTCTACTTGTGAGCTCTTGTCTGATGTCAAACTGAGCATGACAATCCTTTCTCAATCTGTGCCTGTCCATCCTAGCATCTTCACTCATTGTCTTTCCATCTACCATCTCTAATGTCCACTGTGTTCACCTAAGCAGAACACTTTGATTTATTCCAGCATATTGAAATATTGCCCATGGGCTGTCAAATATGTGTTAGATTTTTCGTTGTGTTTTACAATCCATATACCAGTGGTCGAAATACTTTTTTTCAGTGCTCTGCAATATTGCAGAAGAGTCAAAATTTTGTTCTGCAATTTGGAAATACTTTCTGCAAAAACATACTAAAACATACTAATAAAAGACACAAAAAACAGTTACTCAAGTAGCTGTATATAATTTTGGTGCTACCTGAAACAGTCAGACTATTACGTTTCTCATCAGTGACACTAAGAGACTGAAGGAGTACTGCAGGTTTATAAGAAAAAACTATTGATTGATATGCAATTTAGTGAAGACATTTTTTGGAAGTCAAAAAGGAAACAAAAGATAGACAAGTCAAGACAAAGATGATGCAAATTAGTGAAGAAGCTCGAGCTCCAGTTGTTTCAGAACAGGAGCTCAAGTGTTGTCTGCCCTTGATAGGACCTGAGAGTGCTAGTTTGCTACGCCAAAAAACAGTTACTCAAGCAACTGGATATGATTTTGAAAACGTCAGACGTTTCAGCTTGTATCCTCTAGCTTTCGTCAGTGACTGAGAGACCAGAGGGGAAAGTAGGTTTATAAGTACAACCTGTTGATTGATATGCAAATAAAGTGAGGACAAATTTTGGGAAGTCAAAAAAGGAACAAAAGTCAGACAAGTCAAGACAAGATGATGCAAATTAGTCTGAAAGCTCCTAGTTTGCTAAATTGAAAACTATTGAATCTGGAGTCTATTTTCCTTCTGCAAAATTGCAGATTGTATAAATTTTTCTTCTGCAATTTTGAAAATCTATCTGCAGAATGCAGACTGCAGACAGGTATTTCGAACACTGATATACTCAGTGCTTGACACAATTCACAGGTGTGTTCACATTGTGTCCCAGACTGAGGACCACCTGTCCTGGGCAGAAAATATTTGACATTTTTCCAACAGCATCAAACAGTGGTATCACTATCAGTGTCTAGTTACTTGCTCTCCATGTTGGAAGACTTTTCACCTACAAGCCCACCTGGCACTAATGGATCTTTTCCAGTGTTACCACCCGTGCATGTTGTCATTGTATATCTCTTACTCGCATGCCAGGCTGAAAGTGAAACATCACACATGGTTGTTCTTCCACACTTCATCGGAAGACCTTTTACACCATCTTACAGACTCTATTATTTACGATGGTTCACACTTGATGAAGTCTGTGTCTATGTTTATACAGAGTTGACCTAACGGTTAGCCTCTCCTTTTATCTTCCAGTCGTGAAAGCAAGGATCAAGTCAGTGACAAACAATGCCGACACCAAGGAATCCACGCTGGAGCTCTCGGCAAGCCAGGTGCTGCGTCAGAAGGAGAGCATCTTTGTGGCCAACAGCCACGGTCACCACCACGGCCTGGTGCGGACGCCGCTCAAGTGCGGAGTGCAGCAGGGGGAGGGACAGTTCCTGATCACGGGAAGCATTCACTTTGGGAAGGCGCGGCTGGGCTGTGCACCTCGGTTCAAGGAATTCAAGAAGTTGGCAGAATATGCCACCAGGACAGGAAGGAACATGTGTAACATGGAGGAGGTGATCACTGGAAAGGATGATCTATGACCTGTTCTGTGGCCTCCACAGGAACCATCCCACCCCCCTCACCCTACCCTGCTGCTGTGCAGCTGAGCAAAAAAGTGGCCCAGTTCTTATATGGAAGTGATTCAACAGGTGATATTTTTGCTCCCAGTACAAAGACTCGAAAGAGGATACTTGCTATCACTTTACAACTATACCATGACCCTTTGCTACTGCAAATTTTTGTCCTTTCTTCCTCCATGTTGCACTCATGGAGAAACATTTACGGAGGCAAAACTTGGTCACCCTTGCCAAACATGGAATGTTTGTGCACCATATGTAACAATCTGATGGGACAGTTTGGGCACAAGGTCGTCACTCCCTGCAGTAGAGGTCACCTTGGCCCAGGACACACATTTGGTACGGCCATCTTTTGTGACCTTATGACGACCTTCAGTGCAACTTCCGCCCAAATATTAAATGATAAAGTAAACACCCCTAGAGGTGTATGGCCCCGGCCACCTTTCAGCAAGATACAGTTCCCAGGATGATTCTGGATGGAGTATTTCCCCACCTCAGAATGCCCAGGATACATCTGGACCTAATCAAGGGCCACAAGACTCCTTTGTTTATGTCTGCTGCCAAGACAAGCAAAGAAAAGCCAATGTCTCAATTTAGGGTTCAGTTCAGTGAAACAGTGACTTAATTTTGTGATCCCCTGGTCTAAAAGGTGACATTGACCAATATCAAGTACACTGTCATTAACACAAACACACCCCAGAAACACATTGAAGTAGTTGGCTTGGGAGAGAGAGGTCTAGTCTCAGCCAATGGGAGAACAGTTTACTTTAGCAGCAGCATTTCTAGTTGTTATGGCTAGAGGCATCATGGGTAACCTGATGGTTGCTAGGCAACCCCATAGGATAATGACTTCTCCATAACTATTGGATGCCAATCTTTATGGTTTTCAGATCTATCATTGTCATCTCAAACAAGGAAAATTAAACCACTTCCATGTATAGGAACTTACTTATGTGAATAATGATTATGTCCAGCACAGCTGAAGATAATTGCAGCTTTGGTCACAATCTCCTATTACAATACAAGTGAAATACTGTAAAATGCTGAAAAACTGGCAATGCTGAATCAAATTATTTTGGAGGAAGATTCAAACTGGCAGAGCATCATTCTAGAGAACTGTGTACATTATTACGTGGCTAGGAGAAATGTTAGTACAAAAGTGTTAACAAAACTGCCGCATTTACCAAAATGCAACAGTTGCCAGGTTTTCCCATTTTACAGTGCCTTCTGTATATTAATGTAAATAGGTGGAAAACCACAGATAATCTATTACGTTTTACCTGTAAATAATATCCTAGATTTTATCAATCAGTTTGCAATCATAACTGCACATGGTGAGAAAATCACTGATGCTTTCAATTCCGTTGTCTTTTAAATCCTCCGCATTTTAATAGTACCACGTCATGTTGTAAAGAGAAAAGACAATGATGTTTTAACTATCCACACTTTGTAGATACCTTTGTTTGCATTTAAGAAGAGATTTTGTGCAATACATACTCTTTCTGGAAAATATTGCTGTTGTAAAAGACAACATCATTCATTACTGCTGAAATGTTATCCTTGTCAAAAACATACTTGCAAGATCAAAATGTAATATACCATTATCATACCCCCCCCCTTTTAAGCCATAAAAACTTGATTTTATGGGTCACAGCTATAGAATTAAATCTGTGTGGCCTGGACATTGGCATTAGGCAGTACAAGTGTTGTGTTGACTTCTATCACACAATAAACTGATGTGATAGATGTAAAGGAACAGAATATTTTGTATTGTAGTATTAAATTGAGAGACATGTTTGGATATTCTGAAATCATGACAGGAAAAGCATCATTTGTCATCATCACTTGTGATATGGTGTAGACGTAATGCCAACAGACTTACAACTTCATGACCAATGGCTAAGCTTATCTCTAAAGATAAGACAGCTGTGCATTGCTGATTACAGAGATCATGGTGGTCAGTTCCTGTTGAAGTTGAACCACACACAGCTTTATGCCAATGTTCAATCTCACATTGTGATTTAGAACTCCTTGCTCCTTGTATCATAGTGTACACATCTTTGTCTGTAATGACCACCAAACAATATGTTATGCTGCTGTTGTGTTAAAAGGCATAATTAGATGTTGGCAATCATGATTTGTAATTCTAGACAGCTGACTAGATTAGCCTAGTTTGTGTAGAATTCTGTTTTAGATTATTCTACTGAAGAAGGCCTGCATTGTAGCTTATTCATGGTCCCAGCACAAGGATACAGGAAACAGATTAGGCATCAAATTCTTCATGTTTATTGGTTACCGGAAAGGTTGACGTAAAACCCTTAACGCCCCGGGCTAACCGGTAACCCCGAAAGTGGAAGGAAATCATCAACGTTGCTGACATGCTGCTGAAATTTTTGGAGAACTTGATAAGGACATCATCAGTTATTTTCTGAATCATCGGTTTCATGGGGTAGTTTTTAAAAGCTTATATTGGAAGATTTCTTGGAAACTAAATTATGTGCATATGGTACTGTAACTAGACACACAGATATTAGGATTATTTGAAAAATGAATGATGCTTTCATGGGATTTTTGGATTTTGTACAAACACCCCATGAAAACATCTGTTTGTCTCCCAGCTAAATTTACTCGAGTCTTTGATTTTTTTTCCACTAATTTGACAGAAAAAAGGAAGAGCTTTAGTTTTGTCACATTTTATGTGGATCAGGGTCGTTTAATTACCGGCTCTCATTTGGAACATGTTTCCTTGTATGCAACAAACAACCAGAGACGACGAAGGATTTTCAACCATTTTGAACCCAAATGTTTTATTTCCACACCTGGTAGCATACATCACTAGACCGTGGGAAAGAGAAGTCAGAAACCCATGGTGGTAGAGGGGAGGGAGCTTAGGGCCCTCATGCCCTTATTGGGAACCAGGACCTTTTTGGACCAGACCATTTGTGATTTAGGAAGACAGTATCTGGACGTATCGCACAAAAGGAGCTATCTTTCTAAATATGCCGTTCTAAAAAAGCTCATTGTGCAAAATGTATAGAAATTATACACCATCTGTGCTCTCTTGTGCTGGTGCCATGATATATTTAAAGCCTAATCATCGACAATGTTACAAAGTTTTCTACACTGCCATTTTCTTCATTGAGCTTTTGTATAAAAAAATTTGTTCATTAGAAGTGTGTGGTGTAATGGGACCACTTGTTTTAGCAAGATTTTATATTCCAATACAAATTGTAAGTTATTTGCATAAGCGATACAATCATATGAATGTACATGATAATGTTTGCCATACTTGTGTCACTCATTGAGAAAATGTTAGCCTTTTTTTGCTGTTTTTGTTCTGAAATTTATGCTTTCGTTGTTCTCAGCATGCTGATTGCTAGACGTTGTTGTTGGTTTGTAGTTTCTATGTTAGAGATGTGTTTCTTCAATGAGTGCGGAGTTACCTTGCTGTGCTGTACAGCGTTGCTTCATTTTTTTGTGCAGAAGACGACGTGTACCATACCAAAAATGATGTAAATACTACTTATTCCTGACAATGAAATGCTGGAATAAAGTGGAATATGGGCAATGTATGACCTGGTCCTCTTTTCTTTACTTGATTACAGTGAATTGGAGATGAATCTCTATGTGTGTACCCTGAATAAATGCTGTATTATATAGCTGTATAAAGAGGTAAAGGTGTTAGCCGCATTTAAAAGAGCAGAAAATCTTGATTCTCACGGAGAATTCGACCACACACCAGCGTCTCAATCACGACTATCAAAGAAGCACAATACAGTTGTAATTTTGTATTTTAGTAGGTTCAAAACGATGCAGGACGTGACACCATGTAAAATCAATGCCATGTGTGTTCCCCCCAAAGTGGGGAGTCTACATAGACACGGAATGGGCATTTTATAGCATCAGAGAGACCTTTGCTGAGACAATGGCGTCTCCAGTTCTGCTTTCAGTTGAGCCGATCTAATGAGCTCCACTGGCAAGAACTGCGCCGTAATTGCCCGTCCCACCTGCAAGGCGAGCTGACCACCCCACTGCTGAAGAAGCGGAGTGTGGACACAGGGTGTGGCGGGGCCGTTTGAAGGCACCTGTCTACCTTAATGAGGCGTGACACAGGTGACCCCGGCCGGTCGGGACGCCTCTTAGCATCTCGGCAAGGGCTCTCCCCACAGCGTCTTTTGTACGCAGGGTCTTAAAAACATCTTTCCCCGTAACTGTGTCAGATTTTAACGAGGAAGGGGATTCCTGTCTCGATTGTAACTATGTTGACTCGTGGAGTGCTCGCTAACCAGTGCAGTGGTAACGACCACTGTACCGGGGACAGGCTGGCGGAACAGATTTGCTGCTTTGGCACACCAGTGGTGAAGGACTGACATTTGTGATCTCTGGGTAGATGTAGGATCATGTGAGACTGAGCCGGATCCTACGCCTCCTTTGGAAATTATAACGTTGTCTTGCTAAAACATTGTGTAATGTTATAAACCCTACTAAATGAGCAGGAAGAGCACACATGAGCAAACTAGCAGAATCATAGACTAGAACATTTGCCCACTTTTTAAGGTATCTTTCGACAATATCGCAGTGCACAATCGATATTGTCATAGTATCCACTATTAAAGACGACTGACCAAGACACATGCTCTTGTGCCTCTGACAAATTTGTCCGCAGATTCAGGCCGAAGTTACTTTTTACCCACATGGAAACTTCAGGCGGAATTCCACCGTTCAAAACAGCGTGCCATGATCAAGATGAACAGGTTTTCCTCGAGAATTTGAATTGAAGTGCCAAGAAATGCGAGACCAAATCTGCTCGCGCTCGTTTTTCGCCTATTATCTCAGCAACCGCATAGTCTGCCACAATGGCCTCCCGGCTTTTTACCAAACGTTACTGGCGCCACACCGCCATGACAGCCGTCTTGACCGATGAGTTATGAGAAAGGTCAACCTCATCTGTTGGTATGGCAACCGAATGAACTTCTAGAATGGTCCGGAACAAAAGAGGAAGTCGGGGTGAAACCGCGAAAGGGCAAGGAACCAGCGGGGCCGTCTAGACTGGCGAGAACAGGACAATGGACGAGAACGGACAGACCCGCAAAACCCGAACTGACAAACGCTAGAATTTTATATAGTAGAACCAGGAGCCATCTGTGTACATTTTACGGATAGTGCTAAAACAGCGTTGTAATAAATGACGTTGTATTAATATCATTTTGTATTGTATTGTAAATTCGTTTTATTTTGCAAGTTCATGCCGGAGGCCTAACACGGCACAAAGTACAGAAAGAGTATATGTGTCAGTGTGTGCAAGCTATCAACGATCAACGATGACAAGTGGAACAAGTGATTATTCTAAGAACTGCTGCGACTGCTATATTATATTACCATACAAGATGGTTTGCCGACACCACTGACGGTTTGCATTTCAACATCAGCTGATCTTGAAATCATGCAAATAAGGCATAAACGGTCAGAGGTGTCGGCAAACCATTTTGTATGGTAATATAATATAGCAGTCGCAGCAGTTCTTAGAATAATCACTTGACGGTGGCGTCGATGGTCTGTGGCGCTTACGGTTCCTTGTTTTGAAGGCTGCATCGCCGCACATTGTAACCTTGCAGTTGCCTCTTTGTTTAAAAAGCTTTTCCGGTATTATGCCGAGAGACGCAAAACACCACCAATTCTCCAAAAACAGAGAAGACTTGTTTTCCGAGAAGTAATCATACTATTAAAGACCCGCGAAGCATTAAGGGAAAGGAGGCGTGACTGAGGCAAGCAAAATGTCTTTGAACCTGTCTGTGCCCCTATTCCAATGTCCTTTACTATCTTGAGTATAACTCCTTTAGAATGATCTGTGTCTAAGAAACCGTCAGGAGTGCGCGTTTGCCCCACTCATTCCCACAAACGGTACAGGTGCACGTAGTCAAATTAAAAAGGCGTTCCTTCTCTACTGAAAAGAACGTCCGTTAAATACGCCAGGGGTTACCCGCGATTGTTTGACAGGGCACTTCTAATATGAAAGCACCCCATACACGGGGAGTATAAGTAGTCCTTCTTATGGTCAAGAACAGTTTGGTCCCTTCAGCTCCGATGTCATGGTCCTGGCGTTATTTGGGCCCAAACAAAGGATACCAGCAGCTGGTAGTGGAAGATGGGGAGGGGGGCGGCGGTTATTTTGTGGTCCATTGTGTCCACGTGAAGGTGAACAGCCCAGGTGGCCATGGCGTTGGTGACGTCTCATTAAGGCCTCTTGATGGAAGAGAAAATTGGTGCTAGGAGACCACCACCGGTCTTTTATCTGAGCTTCCTTTCAGAAGGAAACACAATTTCATCACAGAGGCTCTTGAACATCACAAGGTCGCAGTAAACATACGTTTGTGATCTAGGCCTTTTTTGTTCAACAAACGCGGGGACGTGCTTGATATGTTGTTAACACTGTGTGTGTGAATTCGAAACTGGTAACTTTGTGTCGGAAACTGCGAAGGACATTCCCTCTCTGTTTCATATAATCTACAAAAACGATAAACTATACATTTTAAGCCGTTTCCTCACTGCCTCCTTTTTCTTAGAAAACCCAATATCTGCCTTTTGGATTACAGTACGTAGGTGGGACAGGTCCTCTATTGGAGTGCAAATTCCATAAGTGTGATACAACGTTGACATATTTGCCTAGGTTCAAATGAAAATCATGATTGGAGACACATCACGCCACTTGTTGTTCTTCGTTTTACAACTTAGTAGAAGTAGGAAGTTGTCGATTCAGTTATAAGCTATCAACTTGAGAGTCCTCTACATGAGCCGACCTATATATCTGTGCTTGGATAGTAAAGATGGATTATTGGTCAGGACAGTATATGTAGCAAGCTTGCTTCAGAGTGAACATTCATTCAAACGTATATATCTGTACATGTGTCTGACCTACGGTATCTGATAAAGGTCGAACCACAAGTCATCCTCGGGGGTCGTCACAAGATTTTTTTTGGCGAGTATCTATTTTTCTTCCTAAATAATAAAATGCCGTACAAGTACTTTCGTTACTTTATCTTGTGTACATTTGTCGACACCTGTCATTGAGTATTTCAATCTTCCACGTACTAGAAACGTAACCTGGGATAGGAGCTGCTAGAGGCTTGCTCCAATTAAGGCTTAAGGTCAGTCGACAATGCTAAGCGATGTAGTATGTGGAGGGAAAACTGAGGAAGATTCTGGACAGTCGTGACATTCCGGGCAAGGCCTGGAACATTCCCCGCGTACACAGAATGTCTCCTACGACTCCCTGTCAGTACCAATGTAATAGCGAGCCATGTCGAGGGGTTAGCGGATCTCTCTCAATGCACTTCAATAGTGAGTCCAAAACAATCCCCCTCGCAAGCAACAATATCCTTGAAGGCAATAGCTCTCCTGAAACAATCCCGGACTTACAGGCCATCTGGCACGCAACAAGTTAAGATATAAGACGTCACTGTACCACGTCTTATGGTAGCAGGTCACAGTATTAATGGGCGACCCCCGGGGACGATGACGCGGGTATAGAAAGTAGTGCAGCGAATATTCTTGAAGGCTGGGTAGAAAGCCTGATAAGAGCGTCAGCCAGATGTAAATTGTGCTGTGTGGTGTAGTAATGTATCGGGTTTGAGACTGTATGATTTGATTTGTGAAGGTTTTGCAGTTCGTGTATAAATGCGCCGTATTGCGCAACTGGCTTTCCGGGTGAGTCGGCTGCAGTTCAGGTCACGTCCGTAGGAGGCGATTTCAAAGTGTACGTTACGAGCAGATACGCCGACAGGATTTTTTGGTTTCTTGATATTTTGTAGTTTGTACCTTCTTCTCAAACATATTCGATTTTCGTATTTGTGAAGTGCACCCTGCTATAATTTTTACCACGTCGAAGTGAGTCATCTTGGGGTCCTTAACTATAGAAATCCCCATAGGGCGAAAACTGTGTTCTGCTACCTTCAACAGACACGGGAATTGGCCATTATTTCCAAGCAGCAGTATTTTCGACCAAATTTTCTTGGTATACCAAGTACTGACGTAGACTCACTTGAAATGTACCAGTTTGCTTCACCGTCAGACCCCCGTTGCCATGGCAACGGCCCGCTATGACCGCCGCCTATGCTTAACTATGGGACTTAGTAGGGAAGTGCCACCGCCCCGAAGCAGCGTTCACCCCCCCCCCTTTTGGCGTAAAAAAAGCCTTACACTAAGTAAAAATCACTCTAAATGATAGAGTAGGCACTGATGATCATTGTTAACAAGAAAAAGAGGGCCAGAATAGTACATTTTATTGGATAATGGGACCACTAAATGGCCCCTCGTACGGGCCTTGGACGGGCCCTAGCCCTATGGCAGGTGCCGAAGTGCAAAGTTGGCAATATCTCAGCAACCGTTTGGAGTTGTGAACTAAAATTTGGCCAGGTTTCGCATCTTGTCTAGTTTTGTCGACTGAGCGAAAGAAAATCCAAGGTCAAGTTGGTTCAAGGTAGCAGGTCACAGTATTAATGGGCGACCCCCGGGGACGATGACGCGGGTATAGAAAGTAGTGCAGCGAATATTCTTGAAGGCTGGGTAGAAAGCCTGATAAGAGCGTCAGCCAGATGTAAATTGTGCTGTGTGGTGTAGTAATGTATCGGGTTTGAGACTGTATGATTTGATTTGTGAAGGTTTTGCAGTTCGTGTATAAATGCGCCGTATTGCGCAACTGGCTTTCCGGGTGAGTCGGCTGCAGTTCAGGTCACGTCCGTAGGAGGCGATTTCAAAGTGTACGTTACGAGCAGATACGCCGACAGGATTTTTTGGTTTCTTGTATATTTTGTAGTTTGTACCTTCTTCTCAAACATAATTCGATTTTCGTATTTGTGAAGTGCACCCTGCTATAATTTTTACCGCGTCGAAGTGAGTCATCTTGGGGTCCTTAACTATAGAAATCCCCATAGGGCGAAAACTGTGTTCTGCTACCTTATGTCCCTTAGAACGTCTTCCCGGGTATTGTAATTTTGTCTTTCGGTTTAAACGACAATTTGTTCTACGGTCAAATCATTTGTGGCCAAGATAAAAAAGGCCAAAAAAAGACAAATAATAGAGGATGTATGCAGTGATAGTTTCGTATATATTCGTATATATTAG